ACCGATTCTGGTTAGATCGTGACATGTATCGACGTCGATATCGATTTTGTCCACTCGGTCGAGTTCCTACCGAAACCGGCAATACATATAGCCTGGGCATGAAGCATAAATATAAAATTTCTGGGCATTCCATTTCGCTGGTGTGGTCGAAAAGCTCCCGCTCTCGCCCTTTCTCCATTCCATCGTCATTCTCCGGCATGGAAAATCTTTTGTTGTGCTAGATTGACCGAGAGCTTGCTCGCGTATCTCGATTTATTCGTCCTCGTAGCTGCAAGAAGTTTTTGTTAACGCGTCACCACCACTTCTAATTGCTCTTTAAATCCGTAACGTTCAGAAATCTTGCAGAAAATGAAAGCCGCTTTTAAGATTAATTGATTGGCGATAATCAGTTATAACGACGTAGACTTCAAAAATTGATTATTGCTGTAAGCTGTGGATTAAAGGGTTTAACCTTTTTGTCAATAATTTTTTATCTTTTCATGAGGTACCTGTTAAAAATGTAAAAGTGAAACGATATAAAGTCTATGCAAGAATTATTCTTTGTTATTCGAAAGATGTGAATTTGAGATTTCATAATGAAATGTGCACAAAAATATAAAAATTTTTATTTTTTTAAATTCGATATGAGTACATAAAAAGGATGTTGAAATATTCAAAAATTTCTTCTCAAAATCCAAAAATAATTTTGAGATCATCAAAATAATTACATAAGACGTTCAAGCATGATTAGCAATGTTGCAAAAATTTTTGACATTTTAACAATTATTTTGAGCATTCTAAATAATATTTAATAGTCCAAACAAAATTATTTTCACGTATTATTTTCTGTCTATTTAGCTAAATTTTTAGATATTTAAATTATATTCTAAAAACTATTGATGTGAATTTAACACCTCTGGAGTGGATTCAACATAATATCATGCATTTTAAATCCACACTATAATGTTGATATAAATTCAAGAAGTATGAAATCCATTGCTATTAACACAGTAAAAATTATATAGACATCGCTGTTTTTTGGAGTGTATACATTGAAAGAAGAGTTGTCCTTTAGAAAACGGTAATCTATTTTTAAAATCATACATTTTTTTAAATAAAATTTTTATATTTCATTATTTTGTATTTCTTGCTCCAAAATATATTATAACACTGTTTCAACGTCATTTTAGCAGTTTTCCTATCCTAAAGTTTAAAAATAATATTAAATCGATGGAAAAATGTTGAATACAAATAAGAGCAAGGAAGACCATATTCGGTCAAATCAAGTGCCTAATAATATTTTTATATGGATCTTACTAAACTGGAGATTGCAAGATTCACAAAAATATTATTAGATACTAAGACCCGCTTTGACCGAATATACCCTTCTTCTCTTATTTGATTTAAAAATATGTTGGTTTAATATTAATAAAAAGACTAATCAAAGAAAGAAATTCGCGCAACGTTCGAAACTCCAGACAATAAAGCTCAAGTTATCCGCTGCTTTTTTCCAACTTCGCGCAGTTCTCTCTTCATTCTCCTCCTCTCGTAAAAGTGCTCCATCATAGGGTGACTGGTGCGAACTGTGATTACAGGTTTTGAGTCTCGTTCGTGGATTTTACAGCCCCAGCGCGACTCGCGGGAATCTCATCCCTCGCCGTGTCCTGCGTCGCGTTCTCAACTTTCGAGAGTCCTTCCCTCTCGCCCTTCCTTTCCTCCCTTCTATCTCACCACCCTCTCGTCGAATCCGAACAGCGGGAAACGAGACAACGTGCGGCATACGAACCACGTGCAAATAAATAAATGCTTGGGGTGGCCGCCGACGTTAAAACGGCGATTGGAAGGGGAGATGGATGCGAAAGAGGGCGGCTGACGAATTTTGGAACTCCACGGGTATCGATCTCCATTTCACTGAACGCACCTGTATCCATCGTTCTTGAGTGTTCAATGATTTTTTCACCGCACATAATCAATCTCTCCTTTGACCCTCCAATTACTTCTGTTTGCTATGAATGATGCAAAATAAACAGCCAGCGGGTGGTTCCAGTTAATCTCCCTGATATGTTTCGTTTGTTGTGCATACGCAAGGTGCGGATTTCAATGTTTTGCACTTGTAAAACGTTTATTGTTTTAACGAAACACATTCTCTTTTCCCCTTTTTTTTTTCAAATACCCCATATTCATTTTTGTAAATACGAAATCCAAAAATAAAAATTGACAAATTGTAAAACGTAGTTTATGAAAGTGCATTGACACTTTTTCATTTATTTTTATATAAAAGCCTCTTTAAACTTATTCATTAAATGATGCAGTCTATGTTTCCTTTGTACAAAATAAAGAGCGTTATGTTTGTGCAAACCATAATAAAATCACGAAAACTTAACGTGTCAACGACCATTTGTGCGCGCGGAAACGTGGAAGAGGATTTTAAAAAGGCAATCTTAACATTCGGTGCGGGGAATTTCATTTGCGTCTTGTTATCACAAACAACTAGTCAAAATTTGCGTTAGCCGCAGAGCTTCGTTCTTGATGGGCTCGCTATTTACCCCACGGTCGGTAAACCATTCAACCAACATTTAACCGTCTCTCGCCCCCTAAAGGACTAAAAAAACCTCTCTCCAATTAGACGAATCAACATCGTGAGTCAACTTTAGCAAACGATAACAGTCTTTGTCCTGTAACAGGCTCTTGCTAAAATTCCCTTTGTTACCCGCCGCGAATCCTTGCGAAAATATTTTTTTGTGTTAACTTACTTTCACATCCTGCGCCAAGTTTCGCGTCTGTCCACCTCTTAATTACGCTCGCTGTTATCTAAATGCGTGATGTCATGATTATTCGATATATCTTCATGCGGCATTTAATTCTCTTTTTTATTTTTATTTGAAAATTGTTTGATTAATAAATATATGTAAATTAGGGACGAAATTTATGCCGCTAATTATTGCGTAAATCAAAATTATGGGACTATTAGTTTTGCGGTCTGGTTAACGCTGCTTTATACATAAAACTTTATACATAAAGAAAATTCAGATAGTTACATCTGATAGCATATTAACGAAGAATACCTGTGCTAGCGAATCGGTGCGGTTCTGTAATAAAGTTAAACTATTAAATTAATCTCTGATGTAAATTACATCGGACCTGTATAGAATGGTAATTCGAATTGAGGTGAGATGAAGATATTATGATATTCCATAAAATGATGTTACTACGTTAACACTAGATTATATGTTAAATTTTCTTCTTGAATATAAAATCATGATTATTCGATTTACTTTCTATTTAAGTTCATATATAGTTAATAAGATATAACTTATCAACTATGTTATGCATATTATATGCATTATCTTACAAACTTCCTTATTTTTCTTACTTCAAAAGTAACAACTAAAAAAAAATGTGATCTTCAAATTATTATCATGAATGAGTAAAAATTACTCAATTATAAAAAAATAAACTGACCTACCTTTACTAGTTCGTTCGCCAAATAGCACTTGTGTTGTTTTTAAAGTTTTTAAAGAGATAAAGTTTTTAAAGAGACAATATCTTCTATAAGAGTACATATTTCGAGTTATGTTATTTTTGTAAATAAAGAGAAAAATCTTCTACAGAAAATATTGTATTTTGAGTTAAAATAATGTTGATAATTAAATTTAAGGAAAAAATTGTTTTATTTTGAAAATTGTTTTATTACACTAGTCGTTTTAGCTGATCATAAATACAAACTATTGGTGATATTTCAAATTATATTACTTTTGATGTGGATTTGTAATTTTGTAAGATATCAAAATCATCACAAAAGATAGTTGTTTTTTAAAAATTGTAAAACAAAAAATAACATTTGATTATTTCTAAGAGTATTTTTTGCCGATATTATTTGATTAGTCAATAATTTTCTGTTAAGTTGAATAGTCTTCTCCTTTTTCTGAAAAACTTGATTTTTTTGTTGTGTCACTGTTGGAATAAGAAAACACGATATGTATAATATTACATTATTATTATGTAATAATATAATCATGTTATATAAATATAGTATAAAATATATATTATATATTATATATAATAAATATATAATTATACACGCGCACACATATACACAATTAATATACGATTGACTACATCGAATTTATCGTTCGAAAAATAACGTGTTTCCTTCAAAAATCAATATGTACGTATTGTACTTGAAAGAAAGTAAGGGTGTATCCATCATTTCTATTTCGTAATTTTCACCTCATGTTTGGTTTATCATCCTAGTATCGCGCGTCCGCTCGTTTCTCGAAAATGGATTCCTATTCTGCCTCGTCGGACTCAAAAATACGCCCTGCCGTTCCCTGTTTCTCCGCTCGTTTTCAGTAGGTGGACCTACGCATGGGGAAACGAACGAGGCACAAGGGACTCCTCCGGATTTCGATTATCGTCGATAACTCGGCTGGATGTATCCCTTCTATACCAGCACTAGTTTCCGGAAATTCGCCTCGCCCTCGGGATTATCCCGCCCCGGGAATTCCCATCTCGCCATCCCTCCGTTCCCGCCGATCCCTCTTTCTTTCTCTCCGCCCCACACATCTATCCTGAATTTCTCTTCTCTCTCTCTCATTTCTATCCCTTCCCCCCTCCCCTTTTTATCTTCGGCCTCGCGTTCGATTTGTCCCGAATTACTTCATTGGATATATTACATCCCTTTTCTTCGTGTAGCCATAACACGCCGACGAGATACGTCTTACCACAAGTATAGATATTAAATGAGAATTTCGGAAATGAACATTACGTCATATTGCACGAGTACCTGTTGATTTTATTGCGATTACATGTAGATGTTATTTTTTTTTATCAAAGATTGAAGTCATTCGAATTTCAATAATTAAATTTTCAAAATTCACTTCATTTTCAAATTCGACGTTTTGATGAAATAAATAATGAGAAAAAACGTATGTATCGCGCACATTTTCTAAAGTAAATTAAACGCAAAATAAGTTACGTGAAAGAATTTATAAACCTTGAGCTACTTTTTGCTGTTTCAGAATGCTTGTTTCCAGCGAAATGGGAAGGCGCGTGGTTCCAAAGTGGCGTGAGGCAATCAATATTAATTTCCAAGAACGAATTATCCACCAAGGGCAGGTGTCTGCACAACGAAGGTGACAAGTACCTATTGGTAGATCAGTAAGTAATCCGATTTCTCATTTTTATTAAGTATTCGAAACAAATTTATTTATTATTTCACAATCTGAGTATTTTATTATAACTAATTTTCTACTGTATTTATCTATTTATCTTTAGATAACAAATTGTAATGTAACAATAGAATAAAGCATTCTTTTTATCGAAAAGCAAAGATTAGGTTATATAGTAAAACATTTTGTATTGTGTTAAACTCAGTCCTTGTTGCAATTTTTACGAATTTTTAATATATCTAAGTGTTAATTTAATATAATGTAATTTGAATATTTTGTGTTAAATTGATATTCATTTCTTAGTTGAAATAACACAATTGAATAAACAGTATAAAAATAATATATCTATTTTAAAACGTATATTCTAAAATAAATGAATAAAATGTGTTAATTTAACATATAATCATTAATTTTATTGAAAAAATATGCTTCTAAGATTTGCCTGCAAATTGTATATACTTTTTGTATTAATTTTTTACATCATATTTGTGTTTAATAATTACATAATAATTGTGTGTTACTTTCTAACATATTCATCGTGTATTAAATTAACACAAATATTCAGATGTATCGTTTAAGAAATGTAAAATGTATTAAATTTGATCTAAATTGTTGAACTATTTAGATCTTTATTGCTAGAAAACCAATTGAAAGTATTTTTAGTCTCTTGATAAAAATTTTTAGGTCGTTATAGTATCATTCTCGAATTGCAATAAATAAAAGCAATAAAAGATCGATATCCTTCGAACTAATCCAATATTGGTTTCTTCGGGTATCGGAACAAAGAAATAAAGCTATCGATATTATTTACTCGTGTTTATTTTAATCTCTTTGTATGCTGCAAGCAGTTATAGCGAGACAATTTTTACTTTGAAAATTTTTATGGAGCTATTTCTATGTAGAATTCAGATAACGTGTACAGTTCGTGTATCCAAACGATCAAAGCCTTAGTTACTAAAGCTAATATGGCGAAATCAGTCGACCGAATAACCCGGATTTTCTTTTTTTATCTCGAGTAGCGGTTTATTCAATTTTATGAAGTATCTTTTCGAAAACGTGCAGTTGTATACTTTGAACTTTTAGTTACAAGAACTTTGATGCTTTACATAATACGTAAAGATAAATCTGTTAACAGCTTGAATCTTTCATTTAAAATTAAGCTTACCTAAATAAACTGCTTGTCGGAAGTTAAATTATGACAACAACAAAAAATCCAAAAAAAAATCAGGGTGAATGAGAGTCAGCGTGGTAGTTAATACACAATCTTAAATCTTTATTCCAGAAAGTAGAATCTTTATTCCAAAAAATAGTACGTTTCAGTTCACTTTGAAACCATCCTCAGTAATACAATTTCAAAATATCAATCTCTTCATGTCCAAGAAAAAAATCACCATCAGATTAACAGATTTGATGTTGTATTCCCAAGACATAGAAGGAATTCGTCTCGATATTGGATCAAAACCAATTAAAATTTATTATCATTAAAGAGTATCAAATTAAAAACCGTGTTGATCGCAGCTCGAACGAAACATGACGTAAATTATGACACGCAATCCGTGTGGCTGACAATGATTTTTTACGATAAGGAATACAATCTTTCCTCTTGAAAAGGCGAAGAAAAGACGTGGCCGAAAAATGTAATGAGTTTAATGAAGCTTTGGCGGAAGCCAAGTTTCTGTTTCGCCATATAATGCTCGTGTCACACGAGACGGCTCTCTAAGTTTTTGCGAAGATCGTTATCTGACTCGCCTGTGCAATGTGTCCGATCGATATACCATCAAACGATATGAAAAAAGTTGAAAAAGAAACGCGCCACGAGACACGATAGCGAAAATTCAAACGTCATCCCGTATCTCTAAGAAAATTACACGGGGATAAAATACAAAATTAAAGGAAGGCTGGCGTAAACAATTAATAAAATCACGTTGATTTTAGCAGTTATATAAAAACCAGATACTTCCCGATCGACATCGACTAAAAGTAAAAACATTTATGTTACAATTTCGTACTCAATAATGTTGTTGTCATGTATAATAACATCATATTATTGTATTACTGTCGTATATTTATATTGTTGAAAACAAAATTATAACATAGATATTATATTATTTTTAATTAGTGTTGACTGAATTCTTATTTCTCTTTAATAATGATTAGTTTTCTTTTCCATTTAATTTTTGGAGAAGTATTGTTGGATTGACAACGCAATTTTCTAATCTTGCTTACACTTTTATAATTAAAAATATAAACGAAGTTTATTCAGATTGTTCCATTTTATATGTTTGATTTATGTGAAAATCGAAGTGGGATATAATTTTTTTATCACAACATGAAAAAAACATGAATTATTGAAAATATGATTCTTCGTCAGGGTTACTACAAAATTGAAAATTAGGAAAATCAAGTAAATATCAGAGAAATTGTCAGGAAAAAATCAGAGAAAAGTTATGGAATTTTACAAATTCTTCTAAAAAATTAATTCTTGGTTTTAAAGAAGAGTTTAATATACGTTTATTACACCTACACAGTTTTAAAATATTACCGACTTAATAATTAAACATAAGTAGCATCAGTAACATTAATAGTAATTTACGTTATGTTAAATTGTATTCTCAACAAAATATTTAATGATTTCCAAATTAGGATGAAAATAATACAAAAAATTTCAAAATATTATTGAAGCATCTGGGAATATCATGAAATTTTATCTGAATAAACTTTGCTTTTATCTGAAAATCAAGGGAAAATGATGGAATGTTAGGATGAGGAATTTATGATAACCCTATTTGTTTTTTTTCTGTTTTAGGAAATCATGCTATCGTTGTGTCGTCATTCACGAGAAGCATTCCAACGTTCTACAGTATAAAGAGAGTAAGTACGAAAAAATATAGAAATAAGTACGCGACACGGTATCATTATTTCCGCCAGATCGATAACGATTTGCTGGCAGCCTTCGAAGACTCGTTCATTAGGATGTCGGTCGTTAATTAAAAGCTCGACGTGATGACGGCGGAAGAAGGAAGAGAGACAGAATACCGAGTAAATCGTAGCGTTTGAAATTATTCTTGGACAGGGAACTTAACGATTTTCCACGCCCATTGTAAAGAACGACAGATACGACGAACGCGAGACATTAGAAGAGCTGTTACGAAAACGGTTTCGCTAATTCCACCCCACGACTACCAATCTCGTTTACAGTATAAAAGCGATCAGGAACACTGTCCCCTCTTCCCTACCTCCGTGTTTTACGGATATTCGTTTTCTATCTACCTCGTTAATGCATTCATCCGAGCGGAGAGCGAACTCGCCGAAACACGATAATAATTCCTAACGAAACGCTGCCGTATTTCACACTCTGCACGTTCGCGGATTAAAGTGTGCTGCGCGTTCCGATTTCCGGTTAGTAACTCCTGTTAGTAATGCTGATGCAAATCTCACTACAAATTTCTAGATGTTAAATAGTTGAATAATTATTCAGTTTTATCTAATTGAAAAATAATGGTTACCGTTATTTTTAACGTTACAATCAATTTCCGCTTCTGTACACGGAGAGAATGATTTTGCTGAAATATTCAAAAATTTAGCTGGATGTACAGATCTGAAAATAATTTGGTTGAATCATCAAAATAATTATGTAGGAAACTCAAGCGTGATGAGTAATGCTGCAAAAAAATTTTAGCAATCAATTTCAGCATACATAATTATTTTGATAATTCAATAAAATTATTATCAGAGATCAGTTAAATTTTTTAATACTTCAAATGTTGTAACTGTTTATTTCTATGTATATAGAATCCTCAAATCCTCTAATTAATTTTTTTTTCTAATCTTATAAATTATGCATTTTTTAAGAAAAATGACTCCATTTATAACTCATAATTCATTTTTTTGAAGTTTTTACGGTAATTTTCTCATCACGATTAATTAAAGAGAATTCAATTATAATAGAATATATATAAAAATTCGACGATTATAAGAGAGAAAACTCGTAGTGCAAAAAGAGTAATTTATTATGAGATAGTTCAATAACATAATTTATTCAGCTATATATTTTATTGAAATTTCTGTGCTTTTAGATTTATCATCACGTTTAAATCTATAGAATTAAATGCGATATGTATAAAAATTCGATCTGCATTTTGAAAAAGGAAATTCCAAAAGAATTATTTGTTATACAATAATCGTAATTACGAGTTATAATTACAGAACTTTCTGGAGATCGCGACACAGTTGACTAATTTTGGGACAACTATTTTGAACAATCTAGAAATGTATTTTCCCCCTGCAGTTTTATCGATTATCGAGCGCGACGATACACGAGCACCAAGAAGTAGCCTGAAGTTTCGCCCACCGGATGTGATAGGGAGCACCGGCTACCCGCTACGTCCGACTCGCAGCTAGCGGAGAGAAAAAAGCGTAGGTCAACATGTACGAGCGGAAAAAGCGCGACAGCGTCCGCGCTGGATCCGCCTCCTACGTCTCGCGTCGGCATTTTTCGACGATTTGTCAAAGTCCCCCCGTTTTTCTTCTCTCCACTCGTCGTTTTATCGGGCTTTAATCTGCATAGTGTCACGCCGCGGGCACCGTCGCTCGCAGACTGCCTTCGTCGAGCACAGTTTGTCGCCGGGAAAAATGGGAGAACGAGATGAAACGCTCCGCTACCCCTATCCTCCCGGCGTGAATCCAGGCAACTCGGTTGCGAATGTCAAAGCGCGGACGAATGAAACGTCGAAGCGAACGCAATATTTCCACATACGACGTATACTTTATTAAAGAAACGCGAATTTCGTCCGTATGACACTGAAGAGCTCGAGACTCTACGAATCTTCACCGTACGTGCCGATGGATATAGAATTTTTCTCATTCAATAAATATGACGTATATACAATTGAATAAATATCACCTAATGTGCCATTCGATACACCCGAATATTTTATTTTAGTAGTATCTACTCTTAATGTTTTTACCAAACTTCATGTACTTAAATTTTACGTACTTAAATTTCGTCAGTTTTGCATGAGAAGAACAATTTTGTTGAATAATATAAAAATTTAACTAGACATAGGTTTGAAAATAATTTTGTTGAGTCATCAATAATTATGTAGCTTAAATATTGATGATAACGCTGCAAAAAGCTTTGCTAATCGAACAATCAATTTGAATGTTTTGTATAATTCTTTTGATAGTTTAAAAAAATTTTCACACACAGATCTATATTTAGCTAAATTTTCAAATACTTCACAAAACCGTTCTTCTCGTGTAAACAATGCTTATGTACACGAAAAAAAAAAAATAAATAAATTTTGTTTTAGTATCTAAAAATTTAGCTAAATAAAGATCTGAAACTAATTTTGTTGAATCATCAAAATAATTATTAATTATGTAGAAGGTCAAGTATTGATGACAGTGTTGGAAAAAGTTTTAACATTCTAGCAAACATAACATTCTAGAGCGTCCTACATAATTTTGATAAAAAAACAAGTTTATAGAGAATTCTCAATATTCAAAACAATAAAAACAGATTAAACCACGACTAAGGATAACGACGCGATAATTATGCGCAAATGATTTACAATAAAGAATATATTTACTTCGTAATTGTGCTCAATAAAAAAAAGTATATTTCGGATTCATCCAAGCCATCTTTAATGATATACATAACAATTATTTTCGCATTAATATCTATGTTCTCAATATTCATCAGGAAATATCTTCTGCAACTTTTTCTAATTCAGAAGTGTGCCTCTTAATTAGTTATATACTTTATAAACTGACGTGAATGAAATACTGATATAAATCAAGAACGAGATCGCAAAATAAAAATTTTAGCGGTATGTTAATATAAAATCCATCGAATAAATTAATATAAAATAGAACAAATTCATGCATCAAACGAAAACTTATCGTTCAAATAAAGTAACTGACAATGAGTCATACAAAAATCACAGAATGATGATAATTATTTTGATAGTCCAAGCAAAATTGTTCAAATATATATCTAGCTAAATTTTTAGACACTTCAACGTCTTTAACAAAATCGTTTTATCTGTGAAGAAGAAACAACCCATTGAAAATATTGAAATTATAAGAGAAAGCTTTAGGCGATTCGAAAGCTCGAGTGCCGCCAATAAAGAGGTAGACTGAAGACAAAAGTCTTTTGCTCGATTTTTCGCTGGCCGCGGGTAACACCTGCGGAAAAGTTAAGTCTCTTTGCGAGGCGAAGTCTTTCGCGGAAGCTTTCCGCCGCTTTTCTCGCGCGGGCGCGGGGAAAGAAATCGGAGGGAAATATCCTCCAGTTAAACTTCCACCGCGGGTATGAACTTACTACTCAGGAAGATTCGTCATCGTCCAACTCGACCTGCTTCTTCCTTCTCTTCCGTCAACCCTCTTCATCCCGCTCAACGCGTCACCGGCGATATAAGAACTTTCCGTTATCCGACACAATTTTTATTAACGTTGTGATTCCTCAGAGGTAGTTTTCCGCAAAAAGGAGATGTAACTGCGATTATCGTTGGTTCGTTCGAAAAATGATACGCGCTGTAACGAAAGATTTGCCGCAGTAGAAACTTTTCCGAGGGCGAAGTAAAGCAAGTAATATATAGGGTGGCTTGTAGAGGCTTTTATTCACTTTACGCTGTACAAGTGATATGTTATCATCAGCGGTACGAAATCCGATAACGGCAATATTGCGTTCGAGAAAATTGGAGTTTCCACGACGAACGGCATTCTTAATCTCTCAAGTGATCAGTAACGGTATCCTATCTGGAGAATCCTTAGCGAATACAAATGCAGTAAAAATATAAGCTTCAAATATATCAATTTATGTACTCAATTCATTTGTGTAGAAAATAAAATGCTTTCTTTTCTATTTGTTGAGTCGCGAAAGAAAATATTATAAAATATTATAAAATAATTATAGAATTTTTACATTAATTACTCTTGCGTGTAAACCGATTTGTTTCCCGGAAAATTATGACTCACACCACCGACACGTCTGCATTCAACACGAATATTTAAAACAAACGTGCTAAATATATTTAACGTATCTCTCATTTAGAATAAATTTCGGATCTTTTCATTGAATATATTTAATATACTTCTGTCACTCTCAATACCACGGTTTAATTCATAATGATACATTTCCGTATAACGAATACATTTAAGGAAAATTTGGGTCACAGATTTATGAAACATGAACGGTTATAAGATTTATTATTAATGTAGGATATATTGTGTATGCTCGGTGTGCGAGATAACGGGGACGGGACGCGCGTTTAATCTCAATTAATTTTCTCTTGCAGCTTTTTGCCACAGTAGGAACTCTCTGGCGTCTCTCTGCTCGTACATTACGGGGGATGCGTTACTCTACTCCATGTTCCGCGAGGAGGCACTCCCTGTAGCGTGCCCTTTTCGCGGTCCCATGACCTTTTCGTACAATCGTGGCCACGGCACGTGCTCGAATCCACCGAGCAACGTCGACACCTGTACAGATGACAGCAGACTTCTCTTCAAATATCAAGCCTGTCCTGACGTACCCGCTTCGGAGAGTGCAGGTAAGATACTTTTTTGTTTAAAGAAAATTTTAAGTTCTGTGTTGTAATAATAATAATCAAAGTAATATCAATTTTTTTTAAATAATTAAAAAATTGTAATAATTAAAATAATAATAATTTAAATAAAAAGGACGAATTTTTTTTTGTAATGTGTCTGTGTCAAATAATGCGGAGAAAATCGCGATTCTTAACTGATAATGTCTAAAAAATAAGCCATAAATTATTATTCGGTCTCACAGCAAAAAGGCAAATGCTGAATGAGCAAACTTTTTCCTTTTTCTCTCCACATCGCATACCCTTTTTTACTTACATATTTCTTTGACAAAACTAGCGTATCAACTCAAAAGCACTTCGTATCAACACACATATTATCTGTAACTTTTTCGCTATACTCATTTTCGCTCAATATCACTAGATTATAAGTCTCCGTTTTTTTCATGAATAAGCTTCGCACTTTATCGTGAAACGTGAATATACATTTTTTGTAAAATTTATAGTTATTTACTCGATTATTTATATTTATGCATATACTTTCAGCAACATACTCAGGATGCTTCAAAGCACTTGTTAGTATTATGAATTATGCAAATACGAGATGGATAATCGTATTATTATAAATTATGTAAATACAGGTTTTATGATCTTTGCGGTTCTTTGGCAACTACTTGTGTGGTACTTAACATAATTTGCAGCAAATATTATGACATTAAATTTCTAATTCCATCGTACGCAGAAAATAGTCTAAATTTTCATAATATTAGCATCATGCTTTAATTTTTCATAAACAAAATTTATTTTTAAAAAATTAAAATTCGTAAGAGAGCCGCTAATAATTAAAGAAAATGTTTATCTAGTATCTTCTTTCTTTATTGATTAATTAACACAGTTTAATTTGAATAATGCAACTTATTAATGCGATTGATATCTCACATGCGAACAGTCACTTTAGCGACTCCGATAGACTGGCCATCACCGATTTGTATATCTTGCGCGCTTCAATTAAATGCTCGTTATTCGATGGATTTGCATTTAATAGCGCGGCACAGCGAGATTAAATTTGTAGTCAATACGGGGTTTATATGTCTATTTTTGACCGACGTGTGTTCAATTTAATATATTGCGGTATAATCGATACCGCCGATAATCCGTTCCGAAGCAACGGTAGCGTTGTCAATTATACCAAGTTACATTGCAAAATGTGTGGGCAGCGTCTAAATATTCATCAACTTGGTCGATTCTCGGCCGCTATTAGGAATGCTATCAGCGCCAGATGATAGAGGGTAATAGAATATTCATTTCTCTCCATGGATGTCCTTTAATAATTTACCACGCAAACAAGATATTTTGCGTTCGCAAAATGTTTGAGCTGCCTCTCAAGTTTGACGAATTCAAAATTTATCTATAAAATCGTATGTTTTACAAAGTGATTTACAGTTATACATACGCTGTGGTTGTATATATTTCGAGAAAAATCCAGTATCGATATATGCATCGTTTTCATTTCGTTTACATCGTAATTTCTATTTTACCACAAAATCATGAAATGCCAAATATTTTGTTGCATAACAAAAAATTCACGCTGTTCGTCTCTAAAGAGAAACAAGATAAACTCTGATTATTAAAGAGACATTGTAATTCATTATTTCATGTCGAAGAAAATGTTCAATGCAATTGAGGTTGATTTTATTGTAACTTTGAAATATCTACGTATATTCCTGATAACAGGACGGATTAAAAGAGTCTATGTACGTCATGTAAATACAGCGAACGATGTGAATGAAAGAACCGACTAGCGTTCGTATGCGGCTTTTGTACCTGCATTTTCTTCTATTTTCCTCATCGCGTTTGATCGGATTTACTTTCGATGCGCTTTGGTCCTGCGTTTTCAAACATCCACAAAAATGGAAACGGTTTCGTTCGAAATCTAACCGACGAATCGTACCTTTAACGAGCACTTTGCGGTGAAAAAAAGAGGCGATTGCGAATCGGTCAGGCGACAGATTTTTCAGAATTAAATCGACGCAGGGATATTACGGTTCTTTTATCCTGAATTTCACCATTCACGCGAAAAGGGACGTCGTCAACGCCTTCCCAACCTTCGACAACCTGTTGAGAAACCGATTTATTGATAGAATACGATGTATATCGTCGAACACAGTACAGAATAGATAAATTTTTATCCATTCGTATGAAAATTTTTGTAATTCGATGTAACGATTTAAGCGTTTGTTTCGTAGAGAATCGGTTTTATCGTTCAACTGGTGTTTCCGAATTTCGTGACATGTAATATTTTAACTAACGCATAAACATGCACATACTTTTGTTTACTATCGAATAGATTTGATTAAAAAAAAAGAGAGAAAAACAAAACACATACATGTATAATTATTCACAAAAATTTCAAAACGTGGCAGGCAATATTTTTACATAGTCGGAAAATTTGTGTTAAATTGAACACATTTCACAAACGTCCACTCAAATTTTTGTGTTAATTTAACACAAGACGAATATATTAAGAAGTAACTCAAATATTATGTAACAATTAATACAAAAAACATAAAACTGACAGAATTTTTAAGCAATCATTTTTCTTCATTAAGATTATTATAATATTTAAAAAAAATATATTAAGTTTTTTAATAAATTTAATATTTGTAATATGTTAAATTAACTCATTTTATTTTAAAATTAATACATTTATCTCAGAATGTTAATATTAAAAAAAAATTATTTTTATTTCTTTACTTATAAATTGTGTATTTCTTACTCATAAATTGTGTCGTAATACTAAGAAATATTAATGATTATGAATTTAACACAAAATATTTAAATAACACAGTCACATTAGAAATGTTAAATTAACACTCACATATTAAAAATTCAACATAAAATTTTAGCAAGGACTGAAAGGACGTTTCTGACTCAAATACAAAATGTCTACCAATAGTTTTCAAAAAGATGAAAAATATTTATTATTCAAAAATCCATATCACTATTATTTTCGATATTTTCATTAAATCAGCGTTTTGTATAACTTTTAAAATTTGATATATTAAATAAGGAGCCAAATTTCTCGAGTGTACATCATAGATGCACACATCAGTGCTCAGTATAAACCTTTTATCAAATGTCGCTAATATATTTAGAAATAAAAAATAAAATTCTAAAATTTAATTTTTTTTATCGTTTTAAAAGTGATTTTATTGCGACGATGGACGTATTACTTTGATTAAAATAAGAGTAAAAACAACATATACACTTTAATTTCCACAATTCTTAAAACACTTCGCGCCTTATCTATTTTTTCTTTTATTTATTTCTAAATTTTTTCGCGCTTCTTTAACTTTGACTAAAATTTTTGTGACATTCTTGTGGAGATTTGTAGCACCTGAAATACCTGCATTAAATAATTACGAACAATTTAAAATTTTACATTTTTTTCTATTAACCGTATTAACAGTTGCTTATTCCTTCAACGCTGTTTATTCATGCATTCAGTGAATGGTACTTGCGTTCAGGAAAGCGAAAAATCTCCAAGGCTTCAACGTCGCGGAGGAAAACGGACAAGGGCGCATAGAGATAGAAGCACCTGGAGTAAAATCCAGGAATAGGTCTTTTTCCAAGCGTTACCTCTCAAATTACTCGGAGATCAAAAAACCGACTCTTTGCAGCGGTCGAGCGAGAAGATAAAAAGGTGAGGAGGCGCTAGCCGCGATGGCAGCGAAAGAGCGAGCCGCGAGAAAGAGTCGCCCGGAAAAAGGGAAGGCAGACTTTCGCGCGCAAGATGTGATTTAGATACGCGGCCCCTGGGATCCCGACGGGCTGCCTCTATTCTAGAGGCGACTAAAGAGCGAGGAGAAGGAAACGAAAGAGAACGAAGAGGGTCGAAGTGGCGAAGCGGAACTGAACGAGCGGCTTGAACGATAACATCTCTCGCTCTTTGCGTGGTCTTTTGGGCCGTTCCTTGGAGTTCCGATAATTGTCGGTCTCGTCGGTCGCGTCGCCGAGGAAGCTGGGGATCTCTAGCCATGACAGAGCTCGGAGGGAATCTCGGGTATCGTTTTTCACGCGGAAATCTCCCCGAGCTCTCGCTCGCTCTCTTGTCTGTTCGTTCGCCGCACCGTCAGGTCGCTTTCCGCGCTTCTTCTTCGTTCATTCGTCTTCTTCTGCTCGTCCCTTTCCGTCCGTCATTGAATGCCTGGGCTCTCCCAATGGCGCTTTAAAGAGCGCTTTGGGATGCGTCTTTACGGCGACGAGCTCCGTCGACGGCGCGCCGCAGTCGTTGCGCCTGAAACATTTTTGCCGCGAATAGCCTCGACTATACCGCGATATCCTTGGACTCTACACACGCTCCCGAAGTACTTCGAATCTATCGGATGTCTTTCAACCGATCCTTTGACAAGTTTTAGGTCAGCGTTTTCTTAACGGGAATTTGTATACCGAAATAGTTTCCCGTCCTACGTACAAAATAACATAAAAATTCTTCGGCTTCCGAAAAAGACGCTTAAATCGAAGGAAAAAGTCTTTCTTTGCTTATCGCATATTACGAGCACAGTTCTGAATCCTTGGAATCTTTTAAGATAATAAATGGAAAACCTAATACGTTAAGCATACATGTCAAGAAAAATGAAAGAATTTTTGACTTTTTGATTCGAGTGTCGTAATATGAGTTCATATTTTTAAAAAGCCTTCTGTAATCTACTTTCTTGACTATAAGTATGAAGCACCCCCACAAATTGACGTAATTGACGACTTTCTATGTATATCTAACTAAATTAAAAACAGTTTTATTGAGAATATTTATTTTTATAATAATTTTAATATTTCGTTGATTCTTCTTTAGCTTTTATTACCGTCTTTTCCAAAAAAAATGTAACAAATTGAAGATGCTTTTATATACTGTTAGAAAATTTGTGTTAATTTAACATATATTTTTTATTCATTCGTCTTATAATTTACGTCTTATAATTTCTTATATTTCACAATACTATTTTTATATT